TTTTCGAGGCCTGGCTGCAGCAGCCAGTAGGAATCGGGTAGGATCTGGTCAGAGAAAAGATAGCAGCAATTGCAGAGCTTTGTGGCTATTTCTGTCCACATGTGCCTACGTCCCCCTGCATGGTTGTAGAAGGAGGTGGGGACGGCAGAGACAGAATGTAGGAGGCTAGTGTAACCTAGCGGCTATGGGTAACTCAGACACATCGGCCCCCAACTACTGTTGCCTCACCTCATGGGTCTGGAACAGACACCTATACGTCAGGGTTCACCTAAGCCTTCTCACACGTCAGCCCCAAGAACTGTTTGTTCCCCAGGATGCAGAGAGCGAGGCTTGCGGGGGGGGGAAAGGGGGGCGGGAGTGGCAGGTGGCAGAGGTCAGACAGGAGAGCTGGGCGCCAGGGTGCCTGGCTGGGCTGCCCAGCCCTCAGCCCTCTGGCCTGCAGGCCTACCTACCTTCCAATCCTTCCTCACAGCCCTTTCCTTCCACTGATGTGGCTTATTATCTATAAGAATGGAAATTGTGGATCGTGTCATTCTTATTTTTTGAAGTCACATCTACTGAGGACGTGTCTACCAGGCACAGTGAATGAGAGCTAAGAGGGGTTCAGATACTTCCAAATAAAAATTACCATGAATAACCATGTGTGTTAGAGCTCAAATGGGGCTACTTTGGGACAGCGACTTGGGCTGGCCCTCTATTGGGATGGAAATACTGCTTCTGATAGATTACTAGGCTCCTGTAGACCATACCATCAGTATCCTTAACATCCCGTTTCTACTGATTTCAGAAAGTGAATGGGTTGGCACAGCCCAAGAACCTACTTCTGTCAGTGTGTGGTGGAGAACGACGTCAGGGTCTGCCTGAAATTCACAAAGACCAGCAAACTGGAGGAGGGGAAAGGGAAATTCACATGAACTCAGGCAGAGATGACAAACGGGAAGAGAGAGAAAACAAGGAGAGATGGACAGAGGGGAGGAAGGGAGAAGGGTGGAGGCAGGGAGAGTCAGATTTTCACACGTGCACACGGAGGGCTTTGAAACCCTCGACCCCCGACCCCCAAACCGAGTGCACCTCACAAAACAGGTTCAGCTCGTATTTCAGGCGGTCTCCTTGCCTGGTGTCCGCGGTCCCCGGGGCCCTAATTCACTCCTGCCCTCTCTGCACAATGGCATTCGAACCTGGGAAAATAATTGCATTAGAGCAGATTACTTATAACCGATAGTTATCCGTCTTTTTCTGTTCGACAGAAGTCTATTAAACTCAGCACAGTCATTACCAGCTGAGCTCTAGAGAGCGCCTTCATTAAGAAAATTAAAATCATACTTTTGAATCCAAGCAAAGCCTGTGTAGGTCTCAAGAGCCCGCGTCCAACCCCGACGTTACGCTGAGCCTGATTTTGCCCCCGCGGACCAGTCTCGGCTTTTTTGGATACAGTAGGTCAGGGCGCAAAGATTGAGTGTGATGGCAATTACTCGAAGATAGGAACCTCTGCGCTCTAGAAGGACCATCTTTCTTCCCAGCCCCTAGCCCCCAGCCCCCTCCCCCGCAGCCTTCCCTCCACTGGATCTTTCCAGTTAAAGGCACCACACCTGTGCAGGCGCGGCGGTGGCCAGGAGATCAGGGAAGGTGTGGGTTCAGGGCCCGGGAAGCCACAACGGTGAACTTCCCCAGCTGACGTCTGCCGCCAGAGGCCCGCTCCAAACGCACGTGTTGCGCACACGCACGCGCGCACACGCGGGGAGACGGGAGACTGCCCGCGCCCCCCCCCTTTTGCATTTCACACACTCGTTCCGGGACCAGCGTGGCCTACGAGCATTTTGTCCAACTGGGCAAGGGAGCCTGGCTCCGCGACTGAGCAGGCAGTTGCGTGAAGCTCAGACCGGGAACCTAGGTCCCTCTGGGCGAATCTCCCGCCTCTGGGGGCCTATTTGGGTCTCCTCCTCGGCTCCGTAGGAGTCTCGGCTTGCAGTACCCCAGGCAGACTCGGGGCGCGGACTCGGCCCAGCTCCTCGCCTCTCCTGCGCCCCAGCTAGGGGAGGAGGGCACAGGTGGGGAAGCGCGGACGGGGGTGGGGGGCGGGGAGGGCGACGCCCCCTACCTCCCCGACCTCCCCTTCCCGGTAGCCTCAGGGTGACATCTCCTATTGCTCCAGTGGTGGTGAGATCTCCAACTCCACTCTGAGCTGGAGTCCTCACCCGGCAGGAGAGCTGTCCGCCCAGTTAGGAGGGGGCGCTTTTGCATTGATTTTCTGCGGCATCTGGAAATTCGCGGGGTTTGAAGGATTTTTCGCATGTTTGGTGGTGGTGGTTCTTGTTGTTAGCCACTGCCCTTTGTTTCAAGGTTTTGCTTTTTAAAATGTTAATTTTTGCGTATTTCTCTGACAGGTCTGCCCAACTCAGGGCTCTCAGGGAAGCACAACGGCTTTTCTGTATTTTCGGGGTGCACTTTCCCGGGGCTCTAGGAGCAGAGAAGTGCTGCTTCCATTTTTTTTTTTTTTGTCAGAATGCCCAGTAATAGTTTTCCACCCCTCGTTCTCTCTGTCTAATGAGGGCTTTGAGGTTTATTAGGGGGAAATAGCACACACACCCCTCAGCACTCAAATACAGGATTAGGTGGAGTTGACTTGAAAGTGTATAATATTGTGGTTCCTTGGCAAGGGTCTAATTCTCTTTTTCCCTGATTTCTACTTGACACAAAATCTTACAACATTCAAGTGGTGAAAGTCAGCGAATAGATGTGGACAAATGAACATCTTTTACAGGTCCACGATTTTCAACTCACTAAACGGGTAGGTTTTGTTTTCTTAAAAATTTTTTTCAGGGGAAAACAAAACAAATGCACCTCCACCGTTGTTTTAGTGTTTACTTCTCATCAAAGGCGTACACATCATTCGATTTCTTTTCCCTGTGTAGCCAAAGATGAGGAAATCAGAAACAAGTAGCAGCTTTTGCACAGCAGGAGATCCAAGACTTTTTCAAGATGGGTCTCTTTTCTTGTGCGTTCCCCTTCTTTCTTCTTAAAGCAAATCCAAAACAGATAAAAAAGAAAGAACACCACTCTTCCCGGAGAGTTTATTTTGTTGCCACAATACAGGGGTGGAGCCCGTTAACGGCTATTTGAAATGATAATGCTTGGTGATCTCATTCATCTAATCAGAATCTTCAAGTGGTTTAAGATAAATGGCAAAACGTGTCTTCAGTCTCTTCCTAAAGACCTTTGCATTCATTTACGTAGAACATTGACCAGACTGTGAGTGTCTCCAAATTTCATTAAGTGAAACTGAGATAAATACGATGAGATGTTCACATTTTCTTCCCTTGTAAAAGTATCTTACTGGAAGCATTTTTACTTGGAGTCAGCTGCATTGGGGACACTTGCTTCCTTTTCTTTGCTACAGGTAGATAGATCTAGATATATAAAATGTGTTTTATATATACATACATATTTAAAGGAGCCAAAATTGTCTGCAGCGAACTTCTCTTCCATTTCTGAGCTTAATGAAGACCTTTCCAAAAGTCAGCTTCATTGGCTAGCGGCAGGCTCTGCTTCCTCCTGACCAGGGTTTATATTGAAAGTAAATTTGAACTCCCTGAACTTCTTTAAAACCGGCCAAAAGAGAGACAGACACAGAGTGTGTGTGTGTGTGTGTGTGTGTGTGTGTGTGTGTGTGTGTGAGAGAGAGAGAGAGAGAGAGAACAACTTGGAGCATAAATATTTAATTTACCTCAGTTGGCAAAAATAACCCCAGCAATTCTTCAAACACCGGAAGAGGCGGCTGCCTCTGACTTGCCCCAGGAGAGCACCTTCCCTGTTCCCCGGGTCCCAATCCGGTCCAGAGCACCCCCAAAAAGGAGGGTCGGAGAAGGTGTGACACAGGAGGGTTGTAAAGAGAAGCGAGGGAAGGGAGCGGGTTTGTAAAGAAGACACTCCTGGTACCCTGGCCAGAAATGAACGTCAAGAGACCCACCTTTTCTCCCCCCCTTCCCCCCCCCCCCCGCCCCCGCGCCTCGTTTCTGAGAGCAGTTTGCACAGAATCCCAAAATCCGGTGCTTTCAAAAGCAGCCCCCAAACTCCCCACAAACTAAAGTCCTCACTGCAGGTTCACACTCTTTGTGTGGGGTCTAGCTGTGGTCAGGGGACTTTTCCGAGTCAGGACTGCTATGCCAGCGACTTGCCTAGGAGGAGAGGCTGGCGGCAGAGCCGCCGCGTCTGCCAGCCTGAGATTGCCCCAGCTCTCGTTTACCTGTGCGCCCTCGCGTTAGAGTGGTCGTAAATCCGTGAAGATTAATTGGGAAGCCGAGGAAAATGCCTGTATGCACCAAAACTGTTGAAAAAAAAAAATAACCCAGACACTCTCAAATACTCCCACACTTGTATTTGACGTGAAGCACTAGAGTATGATCAAATGTCCAAGACCCTGGCGGTTTGTTTTGGTGCGCTCCAGCTACCCTTTCCGTTTCCAGCAAAATTGAGAAGCACAGGCTAGGAGAGAAGAAGAACACGCGGGAAATGACTGTGTGCGTGTGTGTATGTGTGTGGGTAGACTGGTACGGAGACAGCTTTTAAACACGTTTTCGATTTTGGGGGGAAAATCGGACAGAGACCAGTATTTTCTTGGTGGTGCAGGAAAGGGTCATTCAAGACCAAGGACTGAATTCCCGAAAGCGATTCTTCAGGACTTTACGGAAACAGTACCATCTCCTCGGGAGTTTATTTGGCGAAGCTGCAAAATACTGTTTTGTATTGATCTCTTTCCCCATTAGATAACATTTTTTTTTCCCCAAAACTTCGACAGCATCTATTAAAAACATTTCCTTAACACTCCGGAATCTACAGTGTGGCCGAAACAAACAAATCACAGCAAAAACCCAGACAATAAAGGGATTTAGAGAAAGAAAATGTGTCCCTTTCCTAGCCATTTGATAGTTTATTCCCCGGAGGCCAAGTGAAGGTGGGGGTTCCCTCGTACTTGATTATTATTTTTATTATTCATTTAAATGTTCAGCCTTTCCAAGTTATTTCTCTCCCGCGGGGTTTTGCTGCAGGACCGAGGTGGGGTTGGTGGAAGGGAGTCACTGTGAGGGGGGGTGGGGGGCGCAGAAAAACAAGATTTGCTTCGCAGGGGGCTGACCCGCAGCGGTCTACTCCACTGGCCAGCAGGGGGCGCTCTGATGTTATATGTGGACGAGACAGCCGAGCGGCTCACAGCTTCCAGACCGGCTTTGCAGTTTCACGCAGCTGCAAAAGGAAGGGGAGGAGGGATTGTAGGTCCTAAACCTTCAACAGCTATTCCACTTGGGTTATTTACCCCTCTGTTCGAAATGTACCTCCGCCTCACTTTACCTACCCACCTCGCTCACCGCAACCGCCTTCCCATCAACCTCTTTTCATCTGCATCTGCGCAGCTCCTGTACAATCTCTCTCTCCCTAGCCTTGAAATATACATTAATGCAACTTATTAAATGCGACGATGAATAGTCAACATTTTTTTCGCCTGTTAGTTCCGCTGATCCAAGCAGGATTTATTTGCAGATCTCACATCCCGGAGCCATAATGCGGGGTTTTTTTTTTTTTTCTCCCTTAAATAAAATTGGTCAAATGTTGACAACCTTTAAGCCAATCTAACACTCAAGATTAGTGATGGGAAACTAATGAGAAAATATCAGATCGCCCGGCCTGAGGGCTGCCAATTAAATCTTCGCTGATTGAAAAATAAAAGCGGACTTGGGGTGTGAGCCCAGCTCAACTTCAACTATTAATTTAACATGTTGCCGGGGTCTGTGCCTTCTCTCCTCTAAACTGCTTTCCCCGTAACACAGCTTCCTCCTCTCTCATCCCTCAACCTAAAAGCCAAATGTTATTTCTCGAAATATTTCAAGAGGTCCAAATCAGGATGATCATTTCTTACACGGTAAATATTAGGCCTTTAAGCAATATGATTTAACTAATTAGAAAATTTACATCATTAAGTGTCAGGGAGAGAAAAAAAGAGAAACAAATCTGCCAGTCATTTTAAAGGAGACAGGCACTATTGAAGTGTGAAGAAATCGGCTCTAATTCAAAAAGGCAATCGGGCAGAAAAAGCCCTCAACATTACCCTGCTAGTTATTAATCAGAAAGGGCTCTCTCCAGCCGCCCCCCCCCCCCCCCCCCCCCCCCCCCCCCCCCCCCCCCCCCGCTTCCCTCCCTCCTCTCGGCACTGAGTTTAAGTTCGGCTTTTTTGCCAGTGGCCCATGTCATATTTATATTGAGGTTTTTGTCTGTTAAAGGACTAAAATTTGAAAATGTTTCAGTAAGAAGAAAACCGAATCCTCAAAGGGAAACATATTCGCAGAATCACCTCTCTTCCAGACAAGCAAACCTGTTGTGATAAGCAATTCTCACCCCACTCTTTATTTTTTTCTCATTCTTTCATTTTTTCCCCCTTCCCATTAAGTTCCTATTTTGAAACCTGCTTGGTGAGAACTAGATACTCTTTGTGTTCTGCTCCCCTCCCCCTCCTTTCTTGCACCCCTCCTTCCTCCAAAGCGAGAAACTTAGACTGAAAGCTGAAAAGTACAAATACATTAACAAAGCCCCACTCACTTGATAAAAAGGCCATGGTCTAGGCTTACATGTCAGGTTTCTAAGCAAAGGGGGATCGGTTGGGTGGGGCTACAGACAAAAGATGATGAACTAGACATTTCCCCCACCTATGTATAATATTTGATAGTGTGGTTAAAGGGGGAAAGGCAGGTAGGTGTGAAAAATTTTAAAGTGCACCGTAGCGTTGTGCGGCTTTCTCTCCATTCCCCACTTCTCTATTCAGCTTCAAACAGCAGCCTCATTATATCTAGGTGCCCCTTCCCATCATACTCTTACTGAAGCCCTGGGTACACCACACACACAGCCCTCTCCCCAGTCTTCACATTCCCAGCAAATTAACTGAAGAGGCAACTGCAAAAGAACTTTGTGAGCAGTTCTATTTGGAAACTCAGGCCCTTGCTGGCATCTCTGAGGACTTGTTCTTAAACAGACATTGGGTTTTTAAAAAACGTAACAGCAAGCCTTAGATACTTGATTTCCCTTCGTTATTATTTCTTTTTAAATTACAAAGGGGTCCCGCAGGCTCATTTTTCTGCCTTCCCCTATTGTTTTATTAGGATCTGTTCTAGCCTAATTTTCTTATCTTCCTCTCTGCCTTACATCCTGAAAGTTTCACTACCTTGCTTCCCACCAAATCCCCGGGCCTGGAATTCTCAGGGCTGGGCTTCTGTGGGCCTGGAGCAGCTCCCCAACATCAGTTCAATGCCATTCTCCACCTTACCATATTTCAGCTTTGCAGGAGAGAGCAGTAGCAGACCTGGGCTATTAACACACCACAGTTAATTCTCTGCGGGAACTTTTACCAGGTGGGACGTGTGGAAGGAGAAAACATCTGTAAACAGTGAGCACTCTTGAGGGTGGGGAGTGAGTTCTGACATCGAGGTCAGAATACATATAAAAATATGGCAGAATTTGTGAAAGAGTTCAGGCTTAAATTTGGGCAAAATAAGAGGAAAGAGGAAGGGGAGGGGGATAGTGGAAAGAATCTAGAATGCTCCCCAAATGCAGCTTATTTTCTGGCCGTCACAGAGCAGATGGGAGTCGAACGTGCTCCTCTTTGAGAAAGATTAGAGTAAAATGGACACTTCTGTCACTTTCAGGAGGCGGGACACAGAGAGGTGAAAATATACAAGACAGTGGCCTCTGGCGCTGCAGGGCTCCCCTGGCGGTCTCCCCACCCTTTGCCCCATCCTTCTCGAAACCCTCCTTACCTTTGTGGCTTGGATCTGATCTGACACACACTGGATGTTCCTGGACTAGGTTCTTTGAGAGGAAACAGACCACGAGAATCAACCGGTCTCCTGCATCTACTCCGAAGCCAAGAAGCATTACAATAAAATTTACAGCGCCTTTAACAACTCGCAAGGAAAGCATTAAAATTCTCTTTAATTGAGGAAACATTGATTTTTAAGTCTAGAAAAGGCAAAATCATAATTTAGCTGCAAACTTTCAGGCGAGAATATAGCGTATGATGTCGCCGTGTTATGGATCCACCCATACAACATCACATCTTTAATTGCGCTACTTTATGAAGTGATAAAGACAAAAGATAAGCCGACTTAGGCAAATGCTTAAAAAAAAAAAGAGGACCTAGAGTAATTTCCTCTTCCAGTTATTTATAAAAGAATTGTCTTTTTTTTTAAAGCAGAAAAAAAAAAATGCCCAAAGGGGAGGAAAGAAAGAAAAAGAACGGAAAACCACAGACCAGTCTAAAAGCAACTCACATTAGCAAATCCGTTGATATTCTTTAGCAAAGAAGGAATGAAGCAAACGCATTTTGAGAAAATGCATTCACGGGCAAAATTGCATCCTCCTTTAAACGAAACAAACCTGGGTCTATTTTCTTACTTTACTCCCAGCCCTTTTGGGGGGCGGAGGGGTGCAGAACCTATTGGTGGATAGGAAAGGGAAAGAAAATCAGGCTTTCTATGTTATTTCTGTATCGGTTTTTGGTATTATAGAGGAGTAAAGAAGTTTTTGTGTGGTGGTTTTTCATTGATCAGTCACTCTGAGCTAATGTAATTATCCTCATCAATAGGAGGCTGCAGAGAGAATCATTATGTGGGTGACATTGATAAATGATCGCCCAGGAACGGCCCTCTCGCGGGCAACCCCCACATCTGACCCTCCCACACACACAATGTAGTCATAGAAACACCTAAGGAGCTTCCAGCGCCGCCGCGAAGGGGCAAGAGAGCGAAGAAAAAGCCTCGGGCGGCCGAGGTGGGGGTGGGGGCCAGTCCCAGATCCAAACCAGTTCCAACGACAAAAAACAGCCAGCGGCGGGGGAGAGCGGAGGGCATTGCGGGTGGGAGAGGCCCCCTTCCCAGGAGCACACCCTCTCACAGTTGCTCACAACAAAGTGAAAATCCGCCCTCCAGACGGACCCATTCCTCCACACCTTCTCCCATGTGCGACCTCACTACCAACAACATCTGATGTTTGCCGAGACACACATCCAAATCGGTTTCTCCAAAGGAGTTAAATCATGACGTTACAAGACCTGTAGGCATCTCGTTCTCACGCGGGTCCTCCGTTCAAAAATCCCCAAACCAACAACAAACCAAACCCGTCTGAACAAAGGCAGCAGCTGGGTGACCCCCTCCCCTAGCATCCCCCCACCCCACCCCCCAGTTATTTCCTGGGCGACCCCTCCCTTTCTCTACGTCTCCTAACTCGGGGCCTCTGATTATGAGATAATGGATTTCGCGATTGTTGCTGTCAGGGAAAAAGAAAAAAATCCCCACCGAACCCCATGTTTTCATCTTTTGACTGTTTTATTTAAGCCAATGGGAAAGTCTTGAGAGCAGTAATTGATTCATAATGATCTATAAATCGATGTCGGAAAGCAGGGGTGGGGGTGGGAGTGGAGGTGTATGAAGAGTAAGGGGGGGGGTGATGCTGTTTATTTATTTTATTTCTAAAGCTTCAGCTAAAGTAGCTTTGACACTGTTGGGGCTGGAGGGGAGGAGCTGTTGGGCTCTGCTGGATCATCCATCATCGCTGTCACCCAGAGTCTGCCCCGAGGAGCCGCAGACGCAATCTCCCTTCTGTCTCTACACCGAAACTATTAATATTAAAACCTCCCTTCAAACACTGCCCCGACAGCCTCCATTCCCAGCACCGCCTGGCCGGCCTCCCCCACCAGACCTGCGCGCTCCCCTCCGCCCCGGAGGAGGCTCGGAGACTGCTGGGGGCCCCCTCCGGCACCCCGCCCCTTGGAGGCGCGTAGGTGCAGCTCCAGCGGCGCAGAGGGAAGGCCAGGTGAGGGCTGCGGCGGCCGTCCGCACGCGCCCGCCGCCCTCGCCCCTGCCCGGCCCCCTCGCGGGCTGCGGACGCACGCGGCGTGTTTGCACGACCCCGGCTCGGTAGGCGGAGGCCGGCTGCCGTGGTGGAGCCGGCCCCCTACCCCGGGCACCTCGACACCCGCCCTTCCGACAACTTGCAGCAGAGGTCCAGGCTCCTTATCAAATTGCTGGCCTGCAAGACGAATGGGGAACTTGTGGGGATCCCGGTCCAGTCCCTTTGAAGGAAGCTCCCTCCTCTGACAGCTGTTAGAGATATTAGCCACATTTCCCTTCCCAAACCTGCTCCGGGTTAACCGGCCCGGAGGGGGGGGGGGGGCAGGAGGGGGCGAGGAGGCCAAGAGGATCCTGGGACTCTTCTCTGCCGGGTCTAACTAGGGTGGGCTGCGGAGAGTAGGGGGCGGGGGGCTCGGACCTGGGAAGCGCTGACCTGGGCGGTGGGAGGGAGAAGGGGGTGGATGGGAGACACAGACTTTCCTGGTCTTTTTTTTTTTTTTTTTCCCCGTTTAAGTGTGGCTTCTTGCTCAATTCCCAACCCTTAACAGATGGCGACTGCATTCTCTCAGAATTTCTTAAAGAAAGGGAAACCTTTGGAATTTATTTCTGCTTTTGCTTTTCCATATAAATAAAAAGTGTTTTTATGTTACTCTTGTTTTGGAGAACATAAGCAATTTTATTCAGACTACAGTATTTCCTTTAACACTATATGGTTGTCAAAACACCATTCCCAGTTTCTTTGCTTTTGACAGCTGAGTCTTTCTTAAATATACCCAAATCGGAACTCTTTATACTAAATAGTAAACCCGAGATAGGAGCAAATGCCTTCTGAGGTGGTTTAAAAAAAGCATTATAAAAATTGGACAGCTCTACTACCTCTTGGTCTTAGCATGGGGGCCGGAGGGCAGGAAAATGGAAACAAATATTAGAACAATTGTTATCCATCCCCAAATATTTACGAAGGTTAAGGTTAACATGGTAGGATGTGGGCTTGTTGCAGCAGAGCCTGAGATGGTATTATTCATGAAAACCAAGTGTACAGAGCTGTGGGATCTAAACTTTGATGAAATAGCTTAATAATAATTTCATTAAACACGTCCTGAATATGAGCCCATTACCAAGTAAACTCCTCAGTGCACACATCACTGAGGGGCAAGGAAAAGAACTTTTTCCAACATTTCCCCCCAGGGGATGTGAATTAGTCTGTAGATGAGGAACTTCACCTAAAAGCATCTGAAGTAAAAATACGCAAATACTTGAAATTTGCAAAAAAGACTCCATGTGCACCAGGAAAACAAAAATGAGAGAGGGACGCTCTTTTCCAAATAGCATTGAATTTCTCCCTTCACCATCAGTTCGTGTCAGAAGCCTTGCTTCTGCGTTGAAACAGCGGCATATCAATTGAGCTGATACATGTGTTTATAAAAATTCTCCCGAGCTAAAAATAATACAAAACAATAGAAGTTTATTTCCTTGTCTCTTTATATACAGCTTCTATTGATGCTTTCTGCAGTGGGAAAATGGAAGAACTCCAAGTGAGATGCCACACTGGGATTTCTGAGCTAGTGAACTATTGCCCTATCAAGCTGACATCACAGAACTAGTTTTATGGTGTAATCCCTTCCACGCATGGGATTAAAAATTTAGGTGTGACAAAATTCCAGGACAATATATTTATTTTAAAAATGAAGGGGGCATGCAAATACCTCACTTTTTTTTTTCACTTTGCACACTTTACCAGGCATTGTTTGTGCAGTACCAGCAAGCCAATAAAACAGATTTCTAGGAATGTTGCGTGAAACTTGGAGAATGGCATCGTGTTGCCGGTTTTGCTGTTGTTTTAGAAAAAAAAATTACGTTTAGTCACCAACTCCTCACACTAGCGGGCCTGCACGTGGAGGTGTCTGAAATAAAAAGACATCATAATATAATTTATATTAAATATTAATGATGAAGCAATCTTTTCAACTCAGGATTTCAAACTCCATAGAAGTTGTTTACTCATCTATGAACATCTATATGTAAATTTTAATTTACATATTCAGCAGTATTTTAGTAAGTAAGACAGAGAAAAAACACAGGCAGATGAATTATCTTTGAGCACAGACGTTAGTTATTTCTTATGATGTAAAATTAACCCTGAAAAAGTCCTTTATTCTGGCAGAGGAGGAACATGAAAAGCTTTATCTGAAAGTTTGTTTGTTTGTTTGTTTTTTAACATCATGCATCTAGAAAGGAGGTTAGACCTACTGAAGGTAATCTTTTGACCTGGCTCATAACACACACACACACACACACACACACACACACACACACACACACAATTTCATACCTTTAGAAGTTTTCTGCTGGTAGAATTTATAGGCCAAATACACACTAACCGCTACAGATGGTTACCTTAAAAATTGTTGGTTAAGTAAGTTTCAAATACACTCAAGGGGGCAAAACCAGCACCTACTTTTAACACCACGAAGAGGAGGCATTGTGCAACCTTGCCTTAAAGCTATTAAAAACACAAAAGCCTAACAAAAAATCAAAAATGAAATATTTATTACCGCATTTTGTGACTTAACACCTTTTTTTTTTTAACATAACGTCACAGTCCTCATACAA